CTATTTCACCACCCCAGAGGCATGCAAGTTATTTACATGAAATGAGAGTTGTATGCAATATGGGAAGTAAAAAATTAGAAAAATTTAGAATTCAATTGTTTTCAATTTCAGATGGCTCGCACACAAAAGAACAAAGCAACCATGGGACATCTGGGTGTGTTAAAAGCACGTATTGCGAAACTGCGACGAGAGCTAATCACTCCCAAAGGTGGGGGCGGTGGATCCGGTGAAGGCTTCGATGTTGCGAAGACGGGTGATGCTCGAGTTGGATTCGTTGGTTAGTTTTCCATTTTCACGGCTCGGACGTCGCACACTTCACTGTTTTTGAACACTGGCACTTGCCAAAGCTTATGGCCAAGATGGTATGTGGATGGTTCCGTGGTGTGCTTTCGAAAAGCTTAAAGTTTTGAGCGCAAAAACGAAATTATTCGGCCGACGTTCGGGGCAGATGCATGCACGGAGATATTGAAGTTAAAACTGAGTGAATGTTCTGTTTGAAAGTTTTGTGAAAGTAAAAAAACAGCAGATGAAAGGGCATGCATGTTTGTTCGCTGGACTGCTAGCAAGCTCCCTTGGACTACCTAGAACAACTGTTAAATCGTAGTCTACCCTTGCAACTGTGCAAATTTTCCATTTGTTTTGGCTAGTGTCACATGCTGGTCAGCTTGCTGGTGATCCTGACGTTAGCTCCTGCCAGTTCAGTGATTTTCCTGGCAGGAGCGCTGAACGAGACTTCAGCCGTTTCGAGGGTGTCTTCGGCATGTTGGCTACCACTTCTTCCATATTTTGCGTATCATTACTGAGTTTTTACTTCCTTATGAAAGTTTTTTCGTTTTTATGCGAAACGAGCTTAAAGTGCAGACTTCGTTGTAGATGAAAATTTTTGTGCGTTTGTGCTGGAACAGCTGTACAATACGCATATTGTCACACCTCAATTTGTGTGTGTGTGTGTGTGTGTACGTGTGTGTGTGTGTGTGTGTGTGTGTGTGTGTGTGTGTGTGTGTGTGTGTG